ATACTCTAACAGAACAAAGGTGACTGGACTCTGTAAAAGGCTCTGACCATACCAATATTAATCCTAAGGGTCGAAAAATCCTTACAGTTTTGAAGTGTGCTGTCCGTTCATATCACAGAAAATAATTATGACACTTCGACGTAATGTATATAAGTATTTACAGAAAATAGAGTTGGATCAAATAGTATCGACTTACCAATCTATGTGCATCTAGACAGATGCATACATACACTATATCCAATTTAGAAAAAGTACTTGCCTTCGACAGGAAGGTATTTATGATGAAAGTATCAGAAATAAATTATAAGCATTACATTAGACATGCGATATTTAGTGCATTTATCATATTAGTCAAGTTTTATCGATATCCGAGAAAAAGTAATTCACAAACTGAGTAAAAATACAAAAATAAAACGAGTTATAAATAGTAACTTTTTCAATTGATATGCAATGAACCTTGATACACTTTATAGCCTCTTAAGAATAGTGCAAACAATTTAAAATATACATTTGTCTTGATTCTTTTATCTCTTCACATTATCTTCATTCACGTTTGAATTAATATGCAGAGTTTACAGTGCAAGTAATACATATCCTTCATAAAGAAATGCGCTGGGATCCTTGCAGAAAATACACTTTAACAAACATATCCCCATTGCATATCAGTGTACAAGATATTCATTTATTATAAAATTTTAAAAACATTTTTTATTATCTTTTTGTTTTTAATTGGGTATCATCTCAAAATAACTTCCACTTCGTTATGTTTGTGCTGGACATATGCGTAACACTTAAAACTCATTCGAAAAAAAGCATGTATTCGGTAACTTAAAATGTTAAGTCTTATAAAGGGCATTTCTATTTTTATTTTTACAAAAAGGAATATCTTGATTTTTCATATATGTGTGTGAGAACTGTGCATTATACTGCAAGTCATTTACTTTCACTAATGTCTACACGAAAAATTAATCTTTTTTTCTTTTACATCTTATTGGCTATTTAAAGTCAGTGCTTTCATTAGAAAAATATTCAGTAAAGATTGCTTGCTAGACGCCACTGCCAACCGTCGCCGTTCTTCTTTTTTCTTCTTGTTTTGCCACAATAAACCATTGCCAACAGCTAAGCTTGTTTGTTTTATTGTCAAAAGAGCTTTGTATCTGTTCAGTCTATCCGCACAAATACTAGAAGCCATTAAGCAAAGAAAGAAGAATAATCGGAGAGTTGTGAAAAGAGCCGAACTTACATGAAGGAACAGGAGAGCTGGAGGTATCCAAAAGAAACTGTCCGAAACCAGCCACATAACTATCGGTGTTGTAGCGATTGGCGTCTATATGATTACTTTTTTCAAGCACACATAAGCACGTCTTTTTAAAAGCATGGTAAAAATGTTTTGCTATGATGGAATTTCTGGATATTTGATCATATCACAAGTATATATTACTGTTGCTAGCATTGATCAAACAATTCTGATTTATTCTATTTGTTCCTTTCTTATAAAAAACGGATAGGAAAAATAATTAGAATATATATATGATGAAATTAGTGCTATCAGTATCTCTACTCAATCACGTTTATATATAAGATTGACATTTACTTAAGAAATTCATAAACATTTTTAACATTCGTTTTAGTATGCGGAATGTTAAAAATGGCATTCCAAATTAAAAGTACGCACGTACACAGTTATTGTCTTACCTTCGTGATTGATTGACAGATAAACAAATTAAAACTAACAAGATATATTAATATACACTGAGAACAGTGATTTCATAGCGCCTTTATTATGGCAACGGAAAACATTGTTTCTAGTTTATTTGCAAACAAATTCTTAAATCGATGCACTAGCACCTGTTGACAATATGTTAGGATCGCTGCGTGCATTATAATGATGTACAGCTTTGTATGTGTGCGTATATATATATTTACTATTTGTGGGTTTGTTGCTTTTGTTTAACAAAATTAATTTCCCTTGACGGTTAGTAACAATTTGCATTATGATTTGGAGTCGGCATGTAAAAAGCAACAGTTTCCTGAACGATTATCAGTTCCTTATGCAAACATGCCTGTCTGTAGCGATATGATGTCCTTTTTAAATATCGACTGCTAGACTAAACAAATATATAGAATATGATGTTGATACATATACATACATGACCATGTCACTCCTTCGGTAAAAAGGAAGAAATTAAATATGTGATCGTCTTATAAAACATAAATGTACAGATGTAAGTACGTATATATATATATATATATATATATATATATATATATATATATATATATATTTTCTAAAGAATTAATGGATTTATATTTAATCCAACTTTTTATTACTTCAAATGCTATTATAGCGGAAACTTTGTATTTGAAATTGATGCTCCATTTTTATTTATTAAACCGTATGTATTATGTCTGCGCGTTTTAGAAATATTAGTAAAGAAAACCCCCTCCCCCGACAGTGATCGAACCCGCGTCCTCCATTGTTGGGAGAATAGAACCTAGACATGTAATAAATTTGGAATTTTAAAGTAAATTTCTGATGATATTTTATGTAGTTTCCCAATGTCATCAGTTTGGATGTATATATCAATGTTTTTTTTAGCCTTGTAACAATTTCACCAAATGCATACTTCTGTGAAATTAGAAATCGAATATAAATGCCTTTCCTAACTTTTAAAAGTTTTTCTCCTCATGGCACTGTTTACACATACAATGATAAAAGCAAATGCATGGACACAAAAGCCAATTATTTAATTGGCTTATATTCTCATAAAAATCAACTTTTATTTCAAATGGGTGTTTACTAAGAAATACAACACGAACTAACAATATCAGCAGCAGCAGAAGCAACAGCAACAACATATATAGTTTATATATATGTTTGTCAACGTTTTAGTATTGTATATTGTATGACTTCCAGTAAGAACAATTTTCATTGATTTTCATTCAACTTTCAGGATTACAAAACTTCATAAAATACACCAGAAACACAGAAAACAAAAATCTCCCAGAAAAATAGCACTCGTCAGATTTGAGCAGACATGCCAAGGGTAAGATACATATCTTGTACTTTTCCAGTGAGCTCAGTTTCCTATCAGGTAGTTTCTAGATAGATATTCCAGGTGGGGCGGATATGATTTTTTTTCAAATATTTTTATGCTCTTTCACAAACATACATACAAACACAGTCTATTTTATCTATATTTACATATATAATGTTTTGTGGTTTTGTTTTACTGTACACACTAAAATATGATACAAATAATATTAATTCGTACACGTGCCTTTCCATTTCCCTCTCTTTGTATCTCTGTGCGTACATATTTGTGCATGTATTATTGTTGTAACTTATTTTTATTAACTAAAGTAGATTCATTATTAATTTTATTCATTAATAAAAAAAAGTATAATTACACGATATTAACTTTTGTTTTTGCAAGACCAATGCCTTTATTGTTAATGTTATATTTTGCACGGATACGTTCTTTCAATTGTCCTAAAAAGTATTCGTTACAAAAAATAATTGTAAGTCCCTTTATGCATGTATGGGTGGATAGAATTTATGATTCTATAACTTTTAATTTTTGATATTTTTATTTACTCTGTAAAAAGGATCTGTACAAAATCCGTATCAAATATAAATAATAAAATAAATCACGAAACTGAAGTTATTTCAATGGAGAAAATGAGTACTAGAATTAAATCAATTTCTTTGAGAAATTCGGAGCATCAAATAGCATGGTTGCGAATACATAATCAGTATGAAAGCGCTTTATTTTCGTAAAATAAAGCTAAATGATAAAGTTAATTAATCTAGCATAATTTATTGAAGGTTTAGATGTGTGTAAGCCTTTATGTTAAGGAACTTAATACAAGATAATGATTTCGGCAAATAACAATGTATCTATCAGTATTTATATATATATTCTAAGCTATCTTGTTACCAATCGCTTTTTCGGCGAATACTGGCAGCCTAGGCTTGAATCGGTTCAACTTGTACGCTACTGGCAGTAGTTATATGTCTAACTATTATATCTATAACCAAATATTATTCTCACCTAGTTATGTTTGAGAGTTGTTATTCCTTTGGGTAGTACAAGTTAATTCATTGTAAGCAAATTATGCTTGTACTTTCCGATGTTTTCTGAATATCTTTTCTGTTTGATATTAAGAATTGTTAGAAGTCCATTTAACTGTTATACTCGATACATTGTTTTCAATACTGACTTGGTTACAATTGTTACTTTGCTGATCTCGTACTATCTCCTATTCCTAAATGACACACATTGCACAAAACCTCGTGTTACTTTCGTTTTACATTTTTATATTATTTTAACTGTTTGATAGTAAGGTAGCAGGAAGATGACGTCGGTAGTTGTCGTAGCTCAGTTATCCAATTCTAAGTCGCTATTATTATTTCCTTGAAAACGAACTAATTCTTCACGTAGTTAATTATAAATTTCAATATGTGCGTTGTTACTAACCATGTTTCAGTGCTGTATTCATGGAAAAAATTCGAATTCGTTCTGTTCATAGGCTCTCTCCCCAAATCCAGTAATACTAAACCAATAAAGTTTATTATTATTATTTTGTAAATTGACGTTACTATCAAAGTGTACAGGCTGTAAAATGAAATGTTTTGCTTCAATTGTGTGTGTCCCAGTCATATAAATACCAATAAAACTCATTTGTACTTCGAAGTCAACAAATCAACATTCTTACACTGATTGATTTGTATGTTTTTAAGATTTATCAATCTTTGCAGGTTATTTAAAATCAGAAAATATTTTAGATTGTAAGGATTTTTGGAGATAATAATGATTTACTGATACTAGTCTTACTAATTAACCCGTAGCTTGGGGGAGAAGAGGTGAATTCATACTCCTTTCCCAAGGCTATTTGCGCGTAAGTGAATATAACGAATCCGACTGGAATTGGAACTCGGCTCCTCTCCGATTTTCAGTTCCGATCCGTTATTCATTACATCAAACGCATATCCATGCTTACGCCACCCGGCATTCCCAAACGGTCACCCACTTAGGTACTGACCAGGCTCAACGTTGATTAACTACAGTGATCGTACGAGAACCAGTGTTTCAGCGGGATGTGGCCGTAAGCCCTTCCTACACTGATAACGATTTACAAAATGTATAATATTTAATAAGTAATCATTGTTTGAGTTGAGTCTTTGGTACTGTAAATACTGTTTCAGAAGCTATAGTTCTTTGTAATTGGAATTATACAATTTACTCTCAAGCACTGGATTAAATATCATCTTTTCAAACAAGAGTTTACACATTTTATTGTATTTAAATATTAAAATAATTTTAAAACATCCACACTTAATGTATATAAGCAGATACATAATTTTCTACTTGTGCTATCATTTCAAAAGACTATATATTTTTTACACTTGTAAGTGATGTTTTGTAAGTTTAATTAAACCCATTTCTGTGTGAAGTTCCATCCTATCTTATATAAGCTACAAATATTATCTAATAACAAGCAGTTTCGACAACGCTGTTTCAAATCCAGTGACCAGCAATTAAAATTCTTTCGACATAATAGCTTTGAAATAATGTATCTGAAAACTTCTCCCTAGAAGCAAAAGCAAAGATTAAACTAAAAAAATGCACATATCTAAATACATTAACATAAAATGTTATCAATTTCTATCAGAAAAGCATCTCGTTCAAATGACATGAAAAAATATTGGCTTCTCATACTACAGCCACCATTTCCATCAATATTATTCTGATAACTATTTTGAATATCACAATATTTTGACAAGATTTTCTAATATTGAGATCATACTGCGCCACGAAGTTACTTCACAAGAAAAGATTTAATAAGTTTTAGCTGACTCTCAGCTAATTTTCATTACATATAATTTTATCTTACATATAATAACAGACATCATTAACAAAATATCACCCAAATATTTTCTTGAATATAAAGTACGTGAGAGTATAAATGCAATTTTTAATACATTAGTTCAACTTAAACATACAGCTCTGTATGAAGAATAGAGTTTTGATTTTATTCAGATGTTCTCATCGTATACACAAACTGTTGAAATAAAGACAATAATAGTATGTGTAGACAATAATAGAAAGTGTACACTAATATATTTTTTATTTCGACGAATTCAACGTGCTATTATTAACAACGGTATTTCTATACTACGTAGTTCACTAGAAATGAGTTTTATTGGGAAATACTGGACAATTTATATTCATTTCAGACGTACTGGCAAATTATCAGAGTTAAATGACAAAAGAGTCTTAACAGCGGTAATTTTTTCTATTGCTTTAAAAAAATATTAACTCAAGAGAATAAATAAATATTATGTTCGTATATTATCTTACATAACAGACACCATTAACAAAAGATCACGCAAATATTTTCTCGAATATAAAGTACGTGAAAGTATAAATGCAAATTTAACATATTTAGTATTATTACAGGCGTTACAAACATATAATCATGGTCATTCATGCAATCTCAAACTTTTCTACAGAAGTTCGTTGACTTCACTGCACACAAAAATGTTTACATCTTGTATCAATGAATAACAGTTACCCAACATGATAAATAAACAAGGAATATAAAGTAATGAGGTCTCAAGTAGACAGTGAGATACTTGTGTTGTAGGCCACTATCGCAGTCCCTTTCTTTGTAAGCTTACACAATGGCGACTCCTGCAATGTACAATGATTTTTATTTTACCGCTGTTCAAAGTCTATTCACTTTTGTATTCATTTGCTTTTAACGGAACGTGTCCGGTGATTGTGAAGAGACTTTGGTTCTAACCAACATGGATACGATAGCTAGAAAACTGAATTATTCTACAAATAGGACAAAAGGTATACTCAGAGTACCGTAAAATTAATGAATTCGTAAATTCATCATGTCCACTACCAATTCAGTTGTAAACTTGACGCTTAACAGAATTTCGTTTAAGAATATTGTCCAAAAAATTTATTCTAGTTTACATTTGAATTTCAGTACTGTTTGGTAGGAAAATAATGGTTGTTACGAGTTTTTCAGGGTGGGGGTGCTATTTCCATGCTTGTAAAAACAGTTTTGAAAATTCTCTGCTGGACATTGAATTAAAACAGATTTCATTTCGACAAATTTATGAATAAAATAATCTAATCTTGGCTATGCGTAAGTACAAAGATAAAAGTGGTAATGTATACTCTCAGAATTAAATACTTTGTCTATGTGTAACTGAATCATTCGATCAATTCAGTCAGGCCAAGAACTTTTCAGCACTATTCGTATGTTAATGCGATATTTACTTCTAGCACAAAACTTCATTATTGGGATACCCATTAAAGATCCAACCTATTTGGTTTAAGGAATGGCCATTGGAACGATCTGATTGAAGATCCAGGCAGCACTTCTTTATTGCACTAATGGACACAGTCAGGTATACCCCCCCTGATACATGTGTCAATACACCGAGCTCTGCTATCTTTTTAATCCACCTACACACAAAATGTCTGTAGATTGCTACACTAAAAAGGTCTCATCACATCTGAGTTAGAGAATGGAAGCGCCCCAACGCAGTATATTTGCAATATGCGCATGTGTAACAGTAAAGGTGTCCTTTATCGACTAGCATCTTTGAGGTGGATCCAATAAATCGCTGGCTGTAGCAACAATGTAGAATAAATGTAATGAACATATCTAGTAAAACTTTCGTGAATTCCTAAACTAATTTCATGAATTAAGTCTAAATCAGTGTTCCTATTCATTGTCACTGTTCATTAGATCGTGTTTGTTTTTCAACGTTATAATAAAGATACAATAGCAATTAGTTTCTTAAAATCTGCAGAACATTCTTGGTCTTTTCAAAGAATTCCGATTTCTATTTTATCATTTCACTATTTTTAGATTTTACAGTTAGTAATTCTAATACGAAGGACAATAAGCAATAGGCGTTTGTGATACATTAACATTATTATTCATTTTGGATGTCATAAATAAAGCAGGGGATTCTGTGTGAATAGTATCTTCTAAGCACTCTATTGATATACGAAGGTCATGTTATAATTTTGTGATAATAATTTTAAAACATACTGAATAAACGAAAACAAAAGCCAAAGAACCCAGAAAAGAATTTTGTAAGGTTTGTGTGGGAGTATGAAAATATTTCTTTGAAGTGTCGGTTAGCAGTTTCATGAAAATCATTTTGCAAATAAGTGAGTAGGTCAGTTCCAATTACTATCGTCTATATTCAAGTTTGTTGCAAATGGCGCCCTAATTCGTCTGCATTTCTCCGGGCAATAGATAAAAGTAAATGTCGTGTCCGAAATTGTCAGGCTTTTTGTCGAACCAATTTACTATTCCACGCCAAGTAATGACCCACGGGCAAAAAAAAAAACAAAAAAAAAAACAGAATAATAATAAATAAAAAAAAAGGCCATTCTCGTTTTTCATTCAATCACAAACAAGAGAAAACCGTCAGAATTTTTAATAATACAAAAGGTTACAACACAGTGATTACTTTTCTTCTCGAGGAAAGTATAAAAAAATATATCTAACTTGTGGAGGTGAATCCATTTCCATTTTACACAGTAAACTATGTTCACATTTAGATGAATGATTCAGTTGACTTTTTATCATTATTTTATATAGCACAACTTCCTTGGGACACATTTGTCCCTTCTTGTTGTTTCTAGATTTTCTTTTTCGCTTGTATTTTATAAATTGTGCCCTTTTCTACACTTCAGTAACTGAATGGAACGATGGACATTAATAGATTATAGGTTAAAAGCGATAATACAGAATTTAAAAAAAAAAAAAAACTTTAATAATAAGGGGTTTTATTTTTTTATAATCAGTATTGGATTTTACGGTGAGCGTCAATGGGTTAATATCGCTAACAAGCATGAAAAGCTATAAAGCTTTCAAATCAATAAGCAGCATTTGATGCATGCTTTATGATGATCTGGTCAGCTGATATTAGACTAACGTAGATTGCTGTTTAATGATCGGAAATTAAGGATCATTTGTCACATCCTTCTAAATTTATGCATCAAATACAATAATTAGTAAATGTGTTGAAAGAAGCAAAAATGCGCAAACATTTTTTTTCTAAAAGTGGATATTTATAACCTTGTATGCAGATAAAGAAAATATCAATTAATATAAAATGCTTTCTATTCCAAAATGAATAGGACAACACCTAAGCGGCATTCAATCGCACACTTCTTTAATAAACTGATCACGAGTTAACTTCATTTTACTTAACGAACGGTTGCTGCCCTTGTGAGAAATATTGCGTATATCGTTTTGTTAGATAATGCGTAAATCTAAGTTAAATAGATGGGCAGAAAATGAATAAAAAAAAGTTTAAATTGAAAAACAAAAAACATGGAAAGAAAAAAACTGCGTTCAAACCATAAATTAAAAATAAATAGACTGAAACAAGAAGAATTAAACAATTTTACAAGAAAAAATGGCAAAGCCAAACAACAATCGGAATGTTCAGTTAAAGATAACTAAATTAGCAACAATTCTAAAATAATAATGAAAACAAACCTACCAAGACAGGCTTAAATATGTATATTTGCGCAAATGATAATTAATTGTGGTATTATTATATTACTAGAAAATATTATAAGAGGAAGTAAAAAAAAAAAAAAGAAATTTCTGTGAGAAATAATTTATACAACATGCTATATATTCACTAAGGTATCTCATTTTCAATTTATTTTTTGTGGTAAAATTCATGTATGCGATAAAACAATCCGTTAAATTGATATTATTCTCAATAATCATTATAGACTTCCAAGTTTTATTTCAATGATAAAGCAACGTTCACTGTTTACGTGCGTGTATGTGTGTGAGCAACAAAGTAACAAACAGAAATAAGCTCAATTATAATAGATGCAATAGTATAGAAGATGAGAAGGGGTAAAAGATCTTTGTGGATTTCTAAAGTGGTAACAACGAAAAAGATATTTTAGAAACATTAATCAAAGATTAAATCTGTATACAGATGGAAATAAGTTTAGATCCTTAAAAATAAACATGGTTTTTACTCATACACACACCACGACAGATATATAAATTCAAATAACAAAAAGTGAATTTTAAGTGTTG